AAAACGGCTTTCAGGATTCCTATTTATAGCCAAGTGGGAGACTAGATAGATACTCTGAACTATCCTCCAGTGGCAAAACAACTAAAAATACTGGATAAAATATTTTTAAGAAGCATATTTTGGGGCTTCTCTGGTGCCACAGTGGTTAAGAATCCGCCTGCCAATGCAGGGGACACGGGTTCGAGCTCTGGCCCTGGAGGATCCCACATGCCGGAGAGCAACTAAGCCCGTGCGCCACAACTACTGAGCCTGCGCTCTAGAGCCCTCGAGCCACAACTACTGAAGCCCACATGCCACAACTACTGAAGCCCACGTGCCTAGAGCCCATGCTCCACAACAAGAGAAGCCACCGCGATGAGAAGCCTGTGCACCGCAGCGAAGAGTAGCCCCCGCTCGCCGCAACTAGAGAAAGCCCGCGCGCAGCAATGAAGACCTAATGCAGCCCAAAATAAACAAACAAATAAATAAATTTATAAAAAAATAAAAGAAACATATTTTAAGTTGCATCCTGAACTCAACTAGGAAATTAAGTTAAATCCTTAGAGGAGAGAAAGGGAATGAAATTGGGAATCCAGAAAGACAAATGAGTGCTGAAACAATTTTTTTTTCCAAGGGATATCTGTCACACCCTGTGACTTTGAGCTTCTCTTTGATGGCTACTCGGGGCATGGGTGAGGTGACCATACATCTAGTGAGCCTAAGGTAGTCTTGGTTTTTTCATGTTGTTATTACATAATTATTAATAGCACCATTTTGCACTTTTAAAAGTATCCTGATTTGGGCAATAATTTATATTGTTGCCCTAGGCATGGTCAGCGGATGAGAGATGCCTTCATCGACATGAAATCCTAACACTATCTCACTGTAAGTCAGAATAGAAGTAGAGAAGGCACAAAGGTGTCCCTAAAATATGGTTACAAACATTGGGGAGAGATAGACACCTCTAAACACAGATAATTCAGACACCATATGGGGTAAGAGTGAACAATCTTACACTGCTCACTAAACTCTGAGTGTATCATATGACAGAGTCGATGTTCACAATGTTGAACAAGTGATTTTAAAATGTTATTTGAAAAAGCTGAGTTAGATTTACTCTTAGCAGTTTAAGAATATAAGGATGTATAACAAAATAAGGCTTCCTGCAAACATAACTTGATAGTGAAAAGGTTAATGCTTAAGTCTATCTGGAAAATATAAATATATTTAATACCTAAATCTTCAGTGTTGCTAGCTAGATACATGAATCTTTCCTATGAGATACAAATAAGTGTGACATGGCAGGACCTCCATCCATTCTGGTGTTCAGAACTACCACAGGAGGTTCAGCTCTCTGTCCACTTTTGTTTCCTGCATTTTCCCCAGGAATAGTTTTGGAAAGGCTTTGTAGGTTAATGGAAAAACCGATATCTGGCAATAACCAATGGAAAGTAGATTAGACTTCCTGCTCATGCTATTATTTTTCTTGTTTCTCCTGCATTCTGCTGTGTAAAAGTCTACTGAAATCACAAAACATTAGGTTTAGAAGGAACTTTCTTTCGTATAATTTTCTTGAGGATTTAGAAATTAAGTGATTAGATATAATCTTCGATACAGCTTTGATGTAGCTTTTCATTTTTTTTTTTAACTTCAGAGGAGGAAAGAGAAACTGGGAAGATTTCAAGCTAACTATAGAGTCATAGTTTCTACAGAAGCAATAATTTTATTTCCATAACTAGTTAAAATTAACAACTGTAACTCTAAAAAAACCAGATTGCCATGATTAAAAGTATAGCACCTTTGTCTAGATCACAGTAATATACTACTTAATAAGTAGATGTAGTTTAAAAACTGATTATTAAAACCTATAACATCCATTTTTTAAGGAAAATGTCAATTATTTTAGGGCCATTTTGAAATATTATAAAAATACACTGTAATTTAGCAATTATAATATAGATGTGCACTACTAGATATTACAACCTGCATGTAGATTTACTTTCACAATTTCAACCTAAGAATAAATAAAAAATGTTTTACTTTATCCTGATTTGAAGATTTTATATAATTTTTGAAGATTTTACAGTTTCACTAACTGTCTTTCAAAATTACTCTTTGTAATAGCTCCATTATATCCTATACTATTTAAATTATCCCTTGTTTTTATAGCATTTGGTTTTTCTAATTTTTAATTCTCATGATTAATACTAAGGTGAACAATCTATACATAAATCTTTGATCATATCTGATGATTTCTTTAAGCTATGGTAGAGGTGCAATGTAGAGTTTGGGACTGTATTTCATAGGACTCAGATAGGACCCAAAATACTCAAATCCTGCCCTACCAGTCTCTCATTTTCTCCATGCAGTATCCAAGGGTGCCATACACAGAGGGAGCAATGACAAATAGAAAAATCAAGGTACCATTTCAGAGATTTTCTGATAAAACTGAGTTTGAGCCTGTAGCTCAAATTCAGAGCTTATGAAGAAGACCCTCTCTCTCGTAAGTCCAAATCCAAATGTCTCCACCAGCCAACCACTCAGCCTGAATTGATGGACACATCAATTTATAGCCATTTATAGCCACACCTACCCACCTACCCCCATTCCTAACCACTAGCAACCACTAATCTGTTCTCCATTTCTAAACTTTTGTCAATTTTAGAATGTTATATAAACTGAATCCTATAGCTTATAACCTTTTAAGATTGGTATTTTTCAGTCAGCATAACCCCTCTAAAATCCATGTAAGTTTTTGCATGCATAAATAGTTCATTGCATTTTCTTGCTGAGTAGTATTCCATGGTATGGATGGGATACAGTTTGTTTAACCAGTCATCTATTGAGGAATGTTTTGGTCGGTCCCAGGTTTTGACTGTTACACATACAGCTGTTATGAACATTTCTGTACACATTTTTATGTGGACATGAATTTTGATTTCTCTGGAGTAAATGCCCAAAAGTACAATTGCTGAGTCATATGATTAGCTCATGTTTAGTTTTGTGAGAAACAGTTTCCAGAGTGACTGTAATTTACATTCCCAACATCAATGTATGAATAATTCAGTATCTCTGCATCTTCATCAGTATTTGGTATTATCGTTATTTTTTATTTTAGCCATTCAAATAGGTCTGTTTTAGCTTCATTTATTTTTATTATGTGAATTTCCTTCCATTTTGTGCCTGTTGTTCTATTAGAGGATGGGTATGTTTTTTTTAAATTTATTAAGAGCATTTTCTTTATTAAGTATATTAAGACAGCATTACCTAATTTTGGAAATTTTTTACCAATTTGTTATTTTCCTTAAAAAAGTTTTTGGGGGGACTTCCCTTATGGTCCAGCGGTTAAGACTCCTTGCTCCCAATGCAGGAGGCCTGGGTTCGATCCTTGGTCAGGGAACTAGATCCTGCATGCCGCAACTAAGAGCCTGCATGCCGCAACTAAAAGATCCCGCATGCCACAATGAAGATCCCGCATGTGGCAGCGTGCCACAACTAAGACACAGCACGGCCAAATAAATACATAAATATTTAAAAAAAGGTTTTTTGGGCATACTAAAGTATTAAATTTTTAGGTAATACAATTCATCCTTTCCCTTGCAAAGTCTTTTATTACATTTATATTTAGGAAGTTGTCCTCTACTGAGAGATTATTTAATTATTCATCTATATATTCATTTTTAAGTTTTATTTTTTACATTTGATTTTTTGGTCTATCTAGAAATTTAGTATATAGTTTGAAGATCTATCATGAGTCATTTGCTATGTAACCAATTACCTCAAAACTATTTGAATAGTCCCTCCACTTTTTTTCTCATTGGATTATGCTACTTTCTTTATCACTTGCTCCATTTTTGTTTAGCCTTGATTTTGTTTCGATGAAATCTATGAAATCCTATCAATCTGCCCATCAATTCTTGTGCCAGTACCATTTAGCTGGGATTTTTGACAATAACTTGATAGCAGTCAAATTATTGATAAGTCTGGGTTCCTGGAGTTTAGATATTCTATGTAAATCACTGGAAGTGGGGCCATATGCTTTAGTAACCAAGTGTTGGCATTAAAAAGGTATTGTTTTGTTATGAAAAAGTGGGGCCTGCATCTGATAAGTCCTTAGCCAAGATTCAATCTTGCAGATTTAATGCCAAAGCCTGCCTTCTCGCAGTTATAGCAACCTGACCAATTCTGTGAGCCTTAGTGTAATTATGATTCATTCACCTGTTAAATAGAAGGCCACAGCATTTCCTCAAGGGAAGGCTCTACCCATCTAAGCCACTTTGCAAGGTTGAGGGGAGGAGTGTTCCTGTACTGATAAAGGTGAAGTGGGACACATGATCTGCTCATACTTGCAAAAATATGCTATCATGCTCTTCCTTAAAGGTACATTTTAAAAGTTGCATATTCCTGGAATGGGACCATCTTCATTTGTTGATTTTTTATGTTGACAATTGATTTAGATAAAGAATAGCAGAAATATTGTGTTTGTTTGCATGGGCAATTATAAACACTGAAGGTACGTATTAATAAATACCTTTTGAATTAAAAAAAAATGTGCGGCCTGACTTACTCTCATTATGTAAGAAACTCCGATTGTGCTTCCTAAGAGGTCTGCTCATGGAATTGTGCACTTTCAATCAGGTATCCAGGGTACTTGGCAGTAATCCCTGCCTCTTCCTTCGACTAGATCCAAACAGCCCAGAGTCATTTATGCCTCTTGGAACAGCCTTGGATGCCCAGTAATTCCCCTTGATAGATCTTAACTTTAACACTGATCCTCATTTATACTTTCACAGTGTTGTAACGTTTGTAGAGGAGTCTTTTAAGGAAGCTAGTGAAGTGAATGGAGTGCATTCAGGTCAGCGCATCATAAGCAATGAAATCTGTTTCAGGTTCCCAGAATTGCACTCTGTAAAGGAGTAAAGATCTATCACTAACCAATAGTTTAGGAAATAATTTACCAGAGGGTAGAAAAAAGGACTTCAGTCCCTTCTGGAGGTATAATAAGGTTTCAGAGTCTATTCCATGGATTTACAAGTGTTTGTGCAGAACCTGTGTCATTTTATTTATTTTCTTTCTTTTCAAGAAGATACTCTAGCTCTATCACTCAGAAAATAAATCTTAGCGTAAGTACCAGTTTCAATTTCATTTCATAAGTACTACAGTATAAATGGGGATGTTTTGGGCTGCAAATAGCCCAACTCAAAATTGGTTACATAACAAAGGGAATTTGTAGATTCATGTAACTGGAAAACTCAGAGACACTGTGAGCTTTAGATATTTTGATTCAGCGACCAAACAGGCTCACCAGCCCCTAGTTTATTTCAGTTTTCCATAGTGTTAATGTCATCCTAGGGCCATTTATTCCTGATGTCACAGGAAGTTGTGAGCAATTCCCTAGGGATATGCTTCCTTATTCAGGAGAGAGAATGAATGTGTTTTACCATTCCCAGTGATATTGTTGTGTTCAGGTGTTTGGAAAATACTGATTGGCCTAAGCCATTCAGAATTCACCTCCAAAATTTGGGATTAAGGTTAATTCTATGCAAATCACCTAGTAGAGAAAGTTCAGGATCCTGTTACCACGAAGGAGAGAAAATTGATGTTGGGCAGCAAACCAAAGCTGTCTGCTACACCCATTATTCAGCACTTTAGAGATAGTTTGTAAAGGAGCCTTTGAGGGATGATTTGTATTAATACAGCTGGCTGTTCTAGTTGAGCCTTATAGATACTCTGAATACTCCTGGATCTCAGTCAACGACAAATACATATTTATTGACTCTATACTACATGCCAAGCAATTTCCTGTCATTGCACATATCCTAGAAGAATAAAAGGGATTGTTTCTTATCAGAATACTGGGTTTATTGGGGTAAAATTTGTAAAACTTGTGCAAAATCCACTCTGTACAGATGAATCCTTTATTGGATAACTTGGCATTTAACCAGCACAAAGGCCGTTGGGCTGCTCCAACTGACCCTCCCCTCAAGCCATAGTTGTTTCTTGAGTGGTGCTGCTTCAGTGTTGCTGTCTACAACCCTGATTTCCACCATGTACAGATGCCGACTGGTCATGGCTGAGCGTGATGAGGATACAGGCCATGTGTCTAGAAGTAGAGCCACTTGATTTTAGCATGTGTGTAGGTGGCAGAGATTTCAGATGTATTGGAGAAACTTCCAATATCAGTGGCCGTAGTGCATGAGGTGGCCTGGGCTCATGACTTCGTATGCTCTCCAGTTTGACACATTCAGTCTATAGACACATGAGGAGGAGAACATTTGCTTTTAAGAAAAGGATATAGATTTATTGTGATGTTTTATGAGTGATGATGGCAAGTCAAATGAACCATTCTAACCTCTGCTTCTGGGGTTTCTGATAGAATGAGGTAGCACTAAGAGTCTAGTGGGAACTTGCTTTTAGGTTTTGAGTCAGGTAATGCGGTGGTAATGGAGAATCTAGCAGCATCTAGAAGCTCTTCAGATTTTTGTTGACTGTTTTTGTGATTTGTATCTATGACTGAGAGCAAGAATTAGTGTGTCAGTTGTTTCACGTTCAGGGATGTAATCTGTGATATATGTGCTAGTAATAAATAAATAGCATGTTACAGTTTTCAGAGTAATTTCACACACCATTATTATTTCATTTGATCCCCTCAAGAATCTTGTGAGTTAAGTAGGAATTTTTTTATGTTCAGAGCCTCAGTTTCAGAGAACTATATTAGTCAAGGTCATAAAATAAGCAAATAGTGAATCAGGGACTTGAACCTTGTTCACCTCATGCCAAATCCCATGCTCTTCCCACTACAAAAAACACCCCTGCTTTTTACAAGGAGACATGGGGCAGGAGATCAAGATCAATAGTGAGCTGTTGTCCTGACTATTTCCCCAGTCAGCTTTTGGAAGATTCTCCAACGGAGGTGGGGATAGTGGTCTTATGCTATTAGTTAATGTTTTCAGGAAAGGACAACAAAGATGAAATTAAGAAATGTTTATACAAGGTTGTTTTCAAAGGAGATGTGAAAATACTCCACATAATGTTACAGAGTTGTTAAGTTGCCATTACTTTCAGGATAGAGGAAAGTGTCTTCATTTTGTGTGTTACCTACTTTTAATAACCACTTTCTTTATATTTGATGAAGCCATTATCGTATCTCAATTGGCTTTCCTCAGCTGGTCTCTACCTCCAGTTTTTTTTGTTTTGTTTTGTTTTGTTTTAAACCTGTGAATGTATCTCTATACTGCAGCTGAAGTGATCTTCCTAAAATGAAAACTGGGTCCTGTCCACCTCTTAAAATACTCTAGGGGTTCTGCAATGTCTATGGGATGGGGCCCAAACTCCTCAGTATGACATATAAAGCCCACTGTGATCTTCCCCACCTACTTTTCTAGTCCCTTCCTCATGTGCACCCTCTCTTCCAGGCATTCTGCACAATGTCTATTCTACCAGATTCATACATTATGATCTCACATGTACTGTTATTTACATGATGTCACCTCTGTCAGGAATATGCTTTCTCTCTTCCCTGATGCCCTTTGGCAAGCTTTTTTGTTACTCATCCTTCAGTAATGAGGCTAAATGTAAGTTCCTCAGTGAAACCCTCTATGATTCCTGTCCTTGCCAGAAAGATTTAGTCCCTACTTCCTCAGACTGTGACCCCCATAAAAACTTACATTTATTTATTTAAAAAATTTTATTTTTAATACAATTTTGAAAGGTTACTTTCCATTTACAGTTATTACAAAATATTGGCTATATTGCCCGTGTTGTACAATATGTCCTTAAGCCTATTCTACACACAGTAGTTTGTACCTCCCATTCCCCCAGCCCTATAGTGCCCCCCCGCACCCCGCACTGGTAACCACTAATTTGTTCTCTGTATCTGTGAGTCTGCCTCTTTTTTGTTATATTCACTAGTTTGTTGTATTTTTTAAATTCCACATATAAGTGATACCATATAGTATTTGTCTTTCTGTGTCTGACTTATTTCACCTAGCATAATGCCCTCCAAGTCCATCCATGTTGCTGCAAATGGCAAAATTTCATTTTTTTAATGGCTGAGTAGTATTCCATTGTATGTATATATATACATATATATGTGTGTGTATATATATATATATGTATATACACACACACACACACACACACACCACATTATCTTTATCCATTCATCTGTTGATGGACATTTAGGTTGTTTCCATATCTTGGCTATTGTAAATGATGCTGCTGTGAACATTGGGGTGAATGTATCTTTAAGAATTAATGCTGTGGAGCTTTTTCTTTGGATATATATCCAGGAGTGGAATTGCTGAGTCATATGGTAGTTCTATTTTTAGTCTTTTATTGTAACAGTCATCTCATTGGTTTGCTATTATTTGTTTTCTTGATGGTAGCCCCAGCTAATCTGTAAACTTTTTGAGGTCAGATATACTGGTTGATCATTTTTCTCTTCCAAGTTCCAAGTACAGTGCCTTGTGTATAATTGATGTTCAGTGTATTTGCTGAGTGAATAAATGTTTACTAGGTTGCCTTACTAAAGTGCATGTGTGATGAGTACTTTAAGTTTGTATGAGATCTCTTTGGGTATGACAAGAATGTTTGGTTATGCACAGATGTTGTATCATATCTGGAATATTATGTGTATTGTTGGTATCTACCATAGTAAAAAGGAGTAATTAATATTCGTAAATGGAGGTATAAAAGGATGTGGTAGGCAAAAAGAGCTGGGGTCCAGTCACAGGTTTGCCGATACAGGTTTCCTACAAACATACTGGTTGAGCTTGGGCAGATTCCTTTCTCTCTCTGGGTTTCAATTTTTTCATCTGTAAAATAGGCATGGAAGACGGAGGTAGATTAGAGACAGTCTGTCAGGGCCCTTCATCATCTGAGGGTATGTGATTCCAGGCAGCAATATGAGTGATTTACTGAAAATGGCAAAACCATAAATACTGGCGAAACTGCCTCAGCTGCATGATCCTTTCTTTCTTAGACCAAGAGTGCTCCTTTAGGATATGGGCGTTGCTAATCACATTTTGAACATCAGGAGATTTTACTTCCCAGATGCAATGTTTATCTAACTAAAAATGCTATTGAGTTAATTCCCATCAAGTCCTAGCAGCTTCACAGTTTTGAGAACCTTTCTATTTTTTAATCAGACTGGACATTTTAAGAGGCGTAGAAAAAGTGATTTCAGTACAAAGACTTAAACAGATGATTTTCTCCAGTGATTTTTGGTTTTTTTCATATAGTTAACAGACTTAATGTTATTAAAAAAACAATAACAAGAAAAAATGTTATGGATATGATCCAACCAAATCTTGGGAAAAATTAAGGAATCAAATACCAAATTCAGTTTTCTTGTAATTTTAGTACAAGAGTATAGTGTTGATGTCCCTCAATGTGTCTTGTCAGTCTTTTTAATATGTGGCTACTCATAATGTAGTTGGACATTAAAAAGTAATCTTTGAGACGAATGACATGAGTGAATTAGTTTGAATTTTCAAAAATAAGCCCTGTGAGGCTTATTTCTTCAAGGTAACTTATAGTATTGAAGTAGCTTTGGCTCAACAGGTAAATTCACCCTCAATGGGTTGCAGACTCTCTAATGGTAGATCATGCATGCCCACACTTCAGTAAGCTTTTTCCATCAGTTTCTTTTTCAGATAGAAGATTTATTTAATATCACCAACTTTGAAACATTAAAAACCTAAAGCATCTTATCACCTGCAAGTTCCTTTATTAGGTAAATAATCAACAAAAATGCATACATATGATCACTAAACAATATGTGCAAGAATGTTCATCGCAGTTCTATTTATAATAGCCCCAAACTGGAAACAATCCAAATGTCCATCAACAATAGACTGGATAAATACATGGTCACACAATGGAATACCAGACAGCACTTAGAAGGAATGATCTACAGGTTTTTGCAGCAATGTGGAGAAATCTCAAAGCATAATTTTGAGCAAAAGAAGTCATCAAGAGGAAAGTACATACTGTCTGACTGCATTTATATAAAGTACAAAAACAGCAGAAACTTACCTATGTTGTAAGAAATTCAGGAGGATAGTGATCTTTGGAAGGGTAGCGACTGACAGGGCATGAAGGGAGCTACCGGAGAGCTGGT